TTTTTTTTTTTTTAAATAACAAAGTTCTTGAATTTTTTTCTAAAAGACAACTCCTGCCTCTGAAAGTGATATTCTTTTCCTCACAGTAAGGAAGACCATGTTGCTGAAGAGATGAACAAATATAAAATTAACTTTTAGTATTTCAGCTCTCTTTCAATTTGCCATTTGTGGCGAAAGAAAAAGAGCAAGCTAAGAATTAAGTTCATTTCACAAAGGCATGGGGAATTTCCTTAAACTATCTTTATAAATTAAAACTAACACCTATCAAAATGACAGTGACAAAACCTGCTAGTTACGTAAATTGGCCTTTCAACAAAAGATTTCTGTTGCTATTTTCTATAGTTCAGACTATTTACTTAACAGCCACACTTACACTGCAATGTATAGAACGTAAATAATAGTGTTACATTACAGCCAAAGGTTCCATAGCTTGCACAAAGGATTTCCTTGGACACCAGCTAAGTGCTGTTTGTTGCAGAGCTCTGATTAAGGTTAAAAAGACAGCGCCATCTAAATCAAAATGTAGGATAAGATGGAGCATGTAGCCCCTTTTTATTTTTTTTCCAGGCTTCAGGCATATTGACAAATCAATTTACACTTCATACACAAATGAGCTGTACACTTGTACAAGCCCTCCCTGTTCTGTTAGCAAGCACAGGGCTGAAAGGGAATGCACAGGGAAAGGTATTTTGCATTTAAATACAAAGATAATCTCATTTCTCTCCTACTATGCAAGGCTAAAAGAAGAAAACTGAGAAGAACAGAAAACACAGCGAGATGACAACACCTTGGAGAGGGATCTTTATAAGGCTGCTTACTACTTTGTTTCAGAAAACACAGCGAGATGAGAACACTTTGGAGATTGCAGGGATCTTTATAAGGCTGCTTACTACTTTGCTCATTTTATCTCTGCAATCCAAGACAGAGAACCCTACAAGACAGATTATGACATAAAATCAGGAGAAATATGGAACCAAGGTCCAAAACCAATGCAGCTAGGTAGGTCAGGGACCTCTACTGAATTCAGAGTTAAGTCCTAGGTAACCAATCAAACCTACATAGAAAACAGAAAAAGATAAATAGATAGACATTGGGAATTTTTATGAAATTACATCAATGAAGTCATCACAAGATGATACAAGAAACATAATCAATTATGCTAGAAATCCTGGCTGCCCCAAAATGACATGGAGTTTTATAAGGCGCATATATATACATCCAAAAATCAGAACCTCCACCCTTGTACCCTATTGAGTCTCTAATACACCAAGAAATTGTGAAAATCTCTTACAAATTGCAAATGTATTCCCTTTTTTTTCAAGCCATTTCTTTATTTAAACATAACTTACCCCCCAGCTCTGCATGTTAGAAGAATTACCAATCAGTAACAACCACATAATGATAAATTGCAGACAAATGTTTTTAGCTCTATGTTGAAAAAACAAAAACAAAAAACAAAAAAAAAAGCCATCCCAAAACCCCTCATTACCTCATCTTCACTTTCTTTTTCCAAGAAATTGTGAAAATCTCTTACAAATTGCAGATGTATTCCCTTTTTTTTCAAGCCATTTATTTATTTAAACATAACTTACCCCCCAGCTCTGCATGTTAGAAGAATTACCAATCAATAACAACCACATAATGATAAATTGCAGACAAATGTTTTTAGCTCTATGTTGAAAAAACAAAAACAAAAAACAAAAAAAACCGCCATCCCAAAAACCCTCATTACCTCATCTTCACTTTCTTTTTCTTCTGAAGAGTCATCTTTTTCCTTCTTTTCATCTTCTTCGCTACTGGATTCATCTGACAAGATCTCTGGGCACTTGGTGCGTTTTGCTTTCCTTGTTGTTCCAGTGCTACTGCGCTCTTTTTTGCCACCTTTGCTTGGTGTTTTTTTGGACTTTGGCAGCGGCTGAGAGACAGAGAGGTGTGTTATCCAAGCAGGTACACAAAAGTGAATTTTAAAAATATGAATTTCTTCAAATCACATGAAAGAACAATAAACAAATATAGAGGTCTCTAAGTCTTGAAACAAAAAACAGGACTGTTTTATGTACTACACTTAAGCCACGACACTGCAGTAAGCAGAAATTCATTATACAGATGGACCTGAGTAAAATGAAATTTCAGTTCTAAGCTAAGCAGCCCTTCCACCCCCTTCTTCTGAAGAGTCATCTTTTTCCTTCTTTTCATCTTCTTCGCTACTGGATTCATCTGACAAGATCTCTGGGCACTTGGTGCGTTTTGCTTTCCTTGTTGTTCCAGTGCTACTGCGCTCTTTTTTGCCACCTTTGCTTGGTGTTTTTTTGGACTTTGGCAGCGGCTGAGAGACAGAGAGGTGTGTTATCCAAGCAGGTACACAAAAGTGAATTTTAAAAATATGAATCCCTTCAAATCCATGAAAGAACACTAAACAAATATAGAGGTCTCTAAGTCTTGAAACAAAAAACAGGGCTATTTTATGTACTACACTTAAGCCACGACACTGCAGTAAGCAGAAATTCATTACACAGATGGACCTGAGTAAAATGAAATTTCAGTTCTAAGCTAAGCAGCCCTTCCACCCCCTAATCAAACAAATCTTCAAAGGTTGGGGGTTAGAAATAACCATTTGCCTACCTATGGCCCCCAACCCATAAAAGCAAGGTTTTCCTTCTGATAACAAGTTAGCTAACAACTCTTCTGAAGACTTAAAGGCAGGAATTCTGTCATGTCTTATGCAGAGCTGCATTTTGTTATCACTCAGTACCGGTGTCCCTACAGCAGCACGCAGACCCCTTGTTCACATCACTTAACAGTGTTTGCTGGGAACAACTTTAATTTCCTGAGCAACAAGTCTAACTATTTATGGATTGCTTTTAGATTAAAAACTGAAAGTCCAAGAAGATTAATAACAGAGTATAGCAGTCGTGGCAGCTGAATCTAGTGCACTAGATACTAATATAGAATATATATACTATATACGTGTGTGTATATATATACACACAGTAATATACAAATTATATATATAATATATATTAATTAAAGCAAGTTTTCCTAGGCTTGCAACAAATTCCATCCAAATTGTGCCACAACCAAATATGAACATGTAACTTGTCAACATGTAGCATTCTCAAGTAACACCTGACAGCTGCTTTTCCTGTCCTTTGATGTTTTATTTCCTTGCTCTAACGCCTTTTTTTTTTTTCTTTTTCTTTCCTGTTCACATATTATGTCTATTCCCCTTCATTCACCCACAAAGCAGAAGCTACTTACAGTATTTAGGTACTGATATCTCTAATTAGCTTCATGTGTTGACCACATACACTTTCTGTGCGCTAACAGCGTATAACGGCTGCACTTAGATGTAAGCACATAGTTTCTAAGTCCTCACCCCATTACGGATGCCTGCAGCAGCAGAGCTGCTCTCAAGAAGCCATTGCTACTTCAGTAAGTTAGAACAGTAATTTTATCACCACTGGTAACAAGCAAATAATAAGGAATATATCAGAACAGAGCTACAAAAGCAAGTATAACCTTGCATCTCACCTTGCCTGAAGACTTTGGGTGCATTAAGAAGTTTAAGATTCTGGTTACCAGCTCACTATTAACTCCTGATCTTTCCAAGTCAAGAACTTCACAGATACTTTTCAACATTGCATTTCTAAATCTGGAGAGAAAAAAAAAAAAATAAGAAAAGATTAGTATCCTAAACAATTGGTCAATATTTGACTGCTAGAAGCTGCTATCTGGTTTGTGTCTGCAATCTGACAATAGACATGAATACATACACTTACTCATATTTCTAGTCTTAGCTAAAGTTAAGCAAAGAACCACCACCATATTACATAAAGCTAAATAAAATAAAATTCCCAAATACCTATACGTGTAAAGTAGGATACAGGAAAAAGTTATAAAATCTTAGTAAAAAAAAGTCTTCCCCAGAAGCTCTCCTAATCTACCACACTGGGAAAAAAAAATTTAAAAAAAAACAAAACACCAAAAATCAATCTTGGAAAATAAAGCCAGTGGGTACAAGACTTGAACTCTAGACTGGGGTTGTCCCTTTATTTTCTCTGGTTCCTCACCCCTTTACAGAAGTACCTCTGATGAAGACAGAAGGTTAAGTGAAACTGACATCCACCGCTTTACTCCAAAAGGACCTTGAACCAATTGTCCCACTTTATCACTTGTCCCATCAGTATTGAAAAAAGTGTAAAGAAAGAGTCAAGTCTTGTGAGGGTATGACATCAGAATGCAAGCTTAATTAGATTTAAAAAAAAAACCACAAGAAAACCCCTACTTAATTTACCTGTTACCTCCCTTCAACTGTTCACGCTTTCCTCTTCACTCATTTTGTATAATGGTGCCTGAACAGTAGATTTCATCGTTTGACCATTTTTCACAAGTTTAATAGCTATTTCTGGTAATCAAAGTCAAAGGAAACTTACTTTTCATTGTTTATTTAAAAACGCAGTGCATGCAACTATTTCATGCTGGCCTACTATTTCTCTAAAGTAGCGTTTAATTTCAGACTGTCCCTTTAAACTCACAGACTTCGAAGGGTGCCAAACAACTTTGTTCTCCCATGTTTTAGGGCATGGAAACCAGAATTCTTAATTGGTTTGGTGCATCTCCCTGCCTCAAATTACAGTTTGTCCAGTATCCTTCCAATGATGAAGCCAAGTCTTTCAATAATTTTTCTAAACAAGGTTATAAAAAAAATAATTTGTACAATCCTAACAATGAGGAGAGCCTTCCTGTTTAGCTTTTGGGAATACACTGAATACTTGTAAGGTATTCCTGCAGAACCACAGAATCAAGTGTCAATCTATTATGTTTTAAAAGACAATAATAGTATACAGTTAACTTCATTCATTAGCAGAGTTAAAAACCGCACAGCATTGAAGTTTCTGTTTCAGACTTTGAAGACCTTGTATACTGAATTCAGGACTTTGTGGGTCTATTGCTGCTTTAACTAAAATTCACTATGACTTGTGTTACACATGGCATTTGTCCTCGCATTTTAACTTTGGTTAGAACTGATACATACAAAGAATAAATATTGCCTGCCAGGTTTTCTTATTTTTAGTGCTTTGAAGATACATCGGCAGGTAACAGCAAACATAATGCACTGAGTATTAAAATGCAGTTCGAGTGTGGAATAAACAAGTGCATACAAATTTTGAGTCAGTAGCTTCCATAGCAAGCAGTTTTGACTTAAAATCTTAAAACAAACGAAGAACTCTTAATCCACACAGCAACCTCAACCCTCATTCTTTTTAGTTTATAATCTGAACATTAAGATCCTCCCCCACCACCACCTTTGTTATCTTGTTCAATGCTGTTAAAACAGGATGACATGCATCGTGTGTACATGTGTGTACAGTGCACGCAGAAATCAATCACATACCCAGAATAAATTAATAATCTGATCAGCAGCATTTCATACATAGCTAAGAACAGCAGCAGAATTTACCACAGTACTACAAGCACACAAGGCCAAGTACCTTTATATGAGTGACAACGCAACCAGTTTTCAGAATGTTTGCAGATGACTGAAGGGTAACAAAACTTAACTAACAGTTCTTTCATATGGAAAACATGAAAAAAAAATTTGCAAAAAAATACTTCATTTTGTGGTCTTTTGCACATAAGGGGAAGCATTATCCAATTAAACAAGTGGGAAAAGGTCAAAACTCCCATCCCAAGACAAGAGTTTGTCTTGTTAATTCAGAGGTATTTGACAAACCCTCCTCCTAGAAAACTGCCTATATGAGGAAGGAAGATTTGCAAATTCCACATTCTGGACACCTTCTCACTATTAACGAACTGACATTAAAAAAAAAAGAAAAAGGGATTTAGAATCAACTGTGTAGAAGTTACTAGTTTTTTCATTTGCTACAACTAGCAACACAAATATGCAAGGGCATTTTCAAACCCTTTCAGTCCAGCCAAAACCAAGCTGCAGCAGCTTCTCCCGAGTAGAGAAGCAGCTTATGTAGACAGAAAAAAATAAAAAGAAGACATAATAATAAAAAAGGTTTTTTAGGTTAGTTGCTAAAGCAGTTCTACTAAAAAGACTGTATATATACAATAAGAAAACATGGCTTTGATTCTGAAGGAGCAAGGTTTTGGGGCATAGAAAGATACGTTTGCTCCATGAATAGAGCACAACATACAACACTATCCTTGCCCTGGAGAAATAATGTTTTCCTCTCACTCAGCAGAAGAATCTGCTAGTCAGCAAGTGATAGTTACAACTTGGTCTCTAAGAATTGTGGATGAAAAGTTCAAAATTTAATTCCTCTTAATAGATTTCAAGTTGTCTTAGGAGATCAGTTTGTGTGATTAAAACGAGCTCAGAAACAGATCATAGAGCTCTAGGAAACAGCTACTCTGCTTAAAGTTTAAATTTGATCTGAAGTGAAATTTTGACAATAAAGAGGTGCGGATAGCGTTAAGTCAAGCTATGTTAAGTAACAATAAAGATAATTACTTTTTTAACATTTCTTCCTTCTTTTTGTATTGGTCACTTCCTTTTTCAAATGGGAACCCACTGAACTGACCCACATTCTTCTTGAGGGAAGCAACCTAGAACAGAGCACAGAGATTAATTTCCAAGGCAAGGAGTTTAAAAGATTTCATACAATTACATTGGCTAACATTGGCAAAAATCACCTGCCATCTCAAGCTTGTTTAGAATGTAATGTATGATTATTTACATGTTTGCACAACTATGATCATATAAAGCCTGTTGCATGCTTTGTACATGTAATTTGTTATAGAACAGTGAATTTTTTTTACTATATAAACCAAATCTGCTTTATCAGATTATTTGCTTTTCTAAAGTCTTACATAGCACCATGATTGTACTTTTGAATCTTCTCTTTAGCAAAGACAAATGACAAATTTTTGCATTTACATACCACCCAGTTTACAAGTCGTACCATTATGCCTGCAGTCTGAACAGGGTTGAAATTTCATTGTGACAGCCCTCGTAATTGGAAAATTGCCCCCATCAAGATCCTAAATGTATTTCAATTCTTTGTTTTCACTCCATTTCTTTTTACCAAAAAAAAGTTAAAAAAACATCCCCAAATCTTTTGTTCTCCTGAGATCTTTTTAACACTATCAAGAATAACTTGAACTCACTTTCAACAGTTCTACAAATTTTGTTCCTGGTGTTTCTCCATTAGTTTACAATTTTACCAAAGCTAAGCTCCTTTTCCAAAGAGAATTATCTTTGTCCAGCACCTAGAGAAAATTTGCAGATGGCACTGGTATGTTTTATTAAAAATGTTAATTACGATCCAAAGCACACACAGAACGTGCACACAAGACAACATCTCATCTTCACTATATTAAATAGCATTCTGAGCTCCCACCAGTTCTGATTAAATGTAATTTTAGATGAAACCATACTGATATATTTCCAAGCAAACAATTATATTCTCATGTCTTTGGACTCAAACCACTGCAGCAGTCCAGCCAGACTTTTAAACAAGTCTACATGCAAAAGACTAAATGTGGGAGGGCAGAGGAAAGGGGGGGTGGAATTGCAAGAGGAAAGGGGTGGTGTGGGAGGGAAGTGTAAGAGCTGTATTTTGATAGCTGTTGTGTCTAATTAGTATGATTCACGAGTGTTAAATATCAATTTACAATTATATAATTTGCAGAAAATTATGAAACTGCAAATAGTTGTGTGTCTATTAGTTGATTAGATTATTTATTATTGATTACTAAATCAATTATTAATAAGTGTCATTGAATTGTTGCATAGTGTGGTGCATAATCAATGAACAGTACAGTCTCTTAAATCAGTTATGTCTCCAATCTGCAACCTTAAGTGGGAAAGGTGGACTCTGAGGCAATGGTATCCCAGTACCTCCTCCGAAAGACAGTAGAAAAGTGTTACTGGTTTCACAAAGAGTAAATGCATGCAGTTTGACTACTTCCACAGTAAAGCCAGTTAAATGAGAAAGTTACATGGTTCTGTCATTGTATCTTTCTTATCAATTAAATTCTACTGCAGGACAATCCAAAAGTTTGCAAAATTCTGCACACACCAAGTAAGAAATTCTCTAATACAATTTATTGCCATACCAAATACATAACGTAAATCAAAGAATTAGGTTTTAGTAAATATATACTGTTATTTTTCTGAATATTTGATGCAACAGATCTTTATTTGCTATTTAAACATGCATTGCATTTGCTGCAGTGGTCTGGGATATTAGAGCTAGCATACATCTATACTAGTACTATTCAGTTCCTGGTTTCCTAAATACACAAAGAGGTAAAAATAAATTCCTATAAATATGGTAAATGTATTGAAATAGTAAAATGAAATCTGCCTTAACTTCTCTACATCTGTTTTACCTCTATTAGAAGGAAGATGGATCATATTTACTCTGAAATTTAAGGCATGATCACTGATACATAAAGGGCTCCAAGAAAGATTTGCTATTATATTTTCTTTAAATTTCATTCTTAAATCCAAAAGCGAGCATATCAGTTTTCAACTAATATTTTAATTGCCTTAGATAAACGTAACAAAAAACACTATAAAGACTTTACACATAATGTAGTTTTACTTTTTACTGCTTGTGCAAACTAAAGGAGAAAATTACTATGTAAGTAGCAATGTATTAAAACCTACTAGCAGGTTTCAAACATAAAAGAAATAGAAATACTAAGAAAAAGCAATGTTGAACAAAATAACCACATGTAGTATTTTGACTACATTCCACATCTGAGAAGCTTTTAGCACGTGAACCATAAATTATTTCAAACTCATTCTCATAAGGCAAACCACCCCTCCCCCTGTTAAAAAATAAATAAAAATATATTCTCTATTCAAGCAGACTTACAATTCAGTACACCTTTCCATAGGATTTCTATAGGGAGAATAGTTTACAGAAGTCAGAAAAAATATGGGCTTGCTTAACCAGTCTTGCAATATTAATTTTCTAAGTAGTTTGTAATAAATAATCCCTAAAAGTAGATCCACATATGCAACTGTAAAAAACTATACTACAAACATTTTCAGTATGCATGAGAACTAACAGATATACAAGATTGATTTTAAGTTCTTACAGTGCCTGGCCTGTTGTAGAGGAGTTTGTGCAGGTTCCTAAGTTCATCCGTCTTCTTTTTACTCAGAAAGAACTGTATCCTTTCAATTTCACAGAGTTTTTGTCCTTTTCCTGAAACAGTCAAAATATGCGATTCGTCACATTCCTATTTACCTATGTGTTTATAACTTCAATTATCTACTCTTTTTTTAAAAAGCGAAGAAGTTGTTTCAGAATAGCATTAGACATTACAACAGGTCAAACAGTAAGTAGACCTTTTCCTATCAATCAGGCATCCTGAAAGTCTCTTTATTTTCCTTACTTGATAGCACGCAGCCTAGGGTACAAGGACTTAGCATTTCTTTTTTATTCTAGGTTCTCCTGTCTTTGTTAGTGGGGACTAGGTACTGAAGATCCTTTTCCAGGTAAGTTTAAACATTATAAAACTTCTATGGTTTAAACTGATGCTACAGAGTAACAGAGAGGTTTCATATACTTATAATAGCCGTACCATTTTAAAATATATCATGACTCTGTTAATAGATCTCATCTACAACAAATTAATAATTTGATCTTTTAAGAGGTTTCATTATTGTTCCCACCGCTCACATTTCTTATGTGCAAGGACAAACTTACCTGGTGTAATTGTAAAAGGTTCCTTTTGCAACGAGGACACTTGCATGGTCAGTCGGTCTACCTTCTTTTTCTCCCTTTTTCCTTCAACGATGAGACTCTTCTCTGCAAAAGACACAGTATTTTTCATTACATGAAGAGATTTCACTGTAGTGACAGGCAATACGACACTAAATCTTTGCAATTGCAAACCAGAAATGGATATAACTGGGTACTACAACACTTTCAAACCTTTGACTAATAGGTCAATGGACTTCTACAGAGCTGTATATTGCAGTCTTTAGTTCTCAACCGTAGTCGTGCATACAGCTTAATCTTGAAGACAGGGCATTTCCTAAAGGGAACCTCACTCCACAATGAAGATTGCAACACTGTGCATTTTCAGAAATCCATCCTTCTCTCCCTTCACTGCCTTTCTGAGGTACAGAACTGACATGGTTTGCATAGTCTCCTTCTGGGATGCCCTAGCCCCTACATGCACAGCTCCACTTTAGCTCTCTGAAGGAGAATACTATCACCAGATGAGCAAAAGGAGAGTCCAGCATGTCTGCAGGCACCTTCTCTTCCCACTGCTGGACTGGAGGACCCACACGTATCAGCAGGAGAGGCAGAAGCACAAGCACAGTGGAACTGTACTACACCTCGCTGGGCTATGCAGAACAGCACTCTGCAGGGCACAATACAAGTGTCACAAATACTACAATACTACTATTCCCAGTAATTCTGGTACTGCTTAGTAATGAATATATTTAGATTGTTTTACGTATACATTGCACATCGCTAGTTTAATGATACCATGTCAGGAGAAAAACCCAAAGCTTCACTTAAACATTTCATACTAAAATACCTGTCCTCAAAATCACATATCAAACTATCCTTAGTGCTAAACAGACGGGGTTTCCTGGCTTTAACATCTGAAAGCAGCTTCAAAACGCATATGAACATCAAGACTAGATATGTATCTGCTGAAAACAGAGCAAAACATACTTATTCGCACACAAGAAACAGTGATTTCTAAAAATCTAGTTCTAATTCCTCTACTGTTTTCCAAACAGCATAACCTCTTTTCTTTCTACTAAAGACAAATCTCAGCTCTTTTAAGAATCCAAGACCATCAGTGACTTGCTGTCATGGTTTAACCCCCAGCTGTCAACTAAGCATCACAAAGTCACATTCACTTCCTCCCCACCCCCAGTGGGGTGGGGGAGATAATCAGAAGAGTAAGAATGGGAAAACTTACGGGTTGAGGAAAAGACAGTTTAACAGGTAAAGCAAAAACCGCATACGCAAAGCAAAACAAGGTATTTGCTCACTACTTCCAATCAGCAGGCAGGTGCTGAGCCATCCCCAAGAGAGCAGGGCTTCATCACACATAAGTTACTTGGGAAGATAAATGCCATAACTCCGAATATCCCACCCTTCCTTCTTCTTCTCCCAGCTTCACATGTTGAGCATGATGTCATGTGGTACAGAATATCCCTTAGGTCAGCTGTCCCAACTGTGTCCCCTCCCAACTTCTTGTGCACTCCCAGCCTACTTGCTGGTAGGGAGGTTAGAAGAGCAGAAAAAGCCTTGACTGTGCAAGCACTGCTCAGCAATAACTAAAACATCCCTGTATTATCAACACTGTTTTAAGCAAAAGTCCAAAACATAGCCTCATACCAGCTACTGTGAAGAAAATTGCCTCTATCCCAGCCAAAATCAGCACACTTGGTTTTCACTGTGCCATACTGCAGCTGTTTACATGGATGTTTTCGTTTGCAATACAGGCTCCTAGTTAATTTCTATTGGGAAATCTCATTTTTGCACAGTACTTCATCACATCTCATATTCCTTAACCACCCTCTTCCATTGCACGCCACAACAAAAAACCTGCCTTGCTCGCTCATCTTATGATATCACCATTACTTTTATTAACAAAATTAATCAAATGGAATTTCTCCTCTCCTATATAATTAAATTTTGGTACCCAGTAAATTAATTCACAGTAGTTAAGCAAAGACATCTGTATTGTTTCCAAAGCTATTGCACAGATCTTTCAAATGTCTTTCTTTTGCAAACACAGATCTTTTCAGCATGTTACTGGAAAAAAAAAGGATTTCTTTTTGAATATACATTTTTATATAAATAATTTTAATAAAGGATACTACCTCTTATAATCACATAGATCCTTATACAACAACAAAAAAAACAACCCTAGTGTAGGAATTTAGGACGCTAGCACTTCTTTCAATCATTCCTGAGGAATATCAGCATCACTGTTTCTAGTGCTGCCTGTTATAGTCTACTGGGAAGCAATTTATGACCCATGAGATAAATGTACCATAGATTCTCCTAAACAATAATTGTACAATTAGCAAAGATCACAGGAGAGTGCATTCAGTAACCGTGGCATTTTAAAGGACAAATTATTCAGTGGAAAAACACATACCCTTTTCTTCCTCCTCCTCTTCTTCCTCTTCTTCATCTTCATCACTTTCCTCAGCTTTGTTTTCGGCTTCAGGTTGCTTCTCATCTGCTTTTTCAGATGATATTGTATCTTCCTTTGAGGAAGCAACAGAAGACATGGTGTATAGTTCTGTAAAAAGCAGTCAGGGAAACCATCATCAATACAGAATCATAGAATGGTTTATGTTAGAAGGGAACTTAAAAATCATCAAGTTCCAACCCCCCTGCCCTGGGCAGGGCCACTTCTGACCAGACCAGTTTGCTCAAAGCCCCGTCCAACCTGGTCTTGAACACCTCCAGGGATGGGGCATCCGCAACTTCCCTGGGCAACCTGTTCCAGTGCTTCACCATCCTCACAGTACAGAATTTCTTCCTAATATGTAATGTAAATCTCCCCTCTTTCAGTTTAAAAACATTACCCCTCGTCCTACCACTACAATCCCTGATAAAAAGTTCCTCTCCAACTTTCTTGGAGGCCCCCTTCAGGTACTGGAAGGCTGCTATAAGGTCTCCCCAGAGCCTTCTCTTCTCCAGGCTGAACAACCCCAGCTCTCTCAGCCTGTCTTCACAGAAGAGGTGTTCCATCCCTCTCATCATCTCTGTGGCCCTCCTCTGGACCTGTTCCAACCTGTCCATAGCACGACACATGAAAAATACAGGAAACTTGCTTTTTAAAAAATTACTTCTTGTATAGTAATGTCAAATGTCATAATGCTCACATTCTTTAAGATGCTGCATACACACAATACATAACATTTTTCAGGACTTGTTATCTATTCTGCAAGTAGCCTGGTTAAGAACAGCTTAAAAGGCTATCAATTCTTTCCACATGCAAGTCTTCAAGCTTGCTTTGGGAGGCATTTGGAAACACCCACTCAAGGCAGCTGATGGTGTTAGCTCTGAAGAACTGTAATGTTTTAAGATATCACAGTTTAGTGCACCATATTATAAACTAAATAGTTGTTTCTGATAACAGTTAACCATGCATACAAAGTTCCCTAGTGAGTTAAACAAACTACAATTTTAGATGTGGAATGAGAACAGAAAAATAAAAAATCAAAGTTACAAGTGATTCAGAAAAAGCTAACATTGTTGTCAGAATTCAAATATCCATTACATCTTAGGGCTTGAAAATGCTTTTTGGTTTTTATCTGTAGAGGTACAGCAAAAAAGAATAAAAGCCTCTTGCTTAGCATATTCAAGAAGAGTCTTTTCTTTGCATTTGAAGTGGCTTAAATGTTAACTTTAAAACATCTTTGGCAATTACCATTTCCTTATTGATGGAGAATGCCTGTCTAACAGAGGAAGGTAACTGTGTTCATTTTAGAAAGATTGTAGCTTTCCTCTGTAAACAGTCTTTCACTGTTTACAAATCTGGAACAAAATACAGCATGAGCTGTATAAACCCTTGTGAAAAAAAAATATAATGTGGTTTACCATTGTCTTTTTCCAATATTAAAGCCAATACTATCTGAAAGAGGTCAGACTCAAAAAACAATGAAACCAACTGCTTCGATGCAATATTAGCAGGTGTCAGAGAACAGCAGCACTCCAAATGACAGAAAACATGAGTTACATTACCACTAGTAAAGGGAAAAAGAAAGTTTGCTTCTCTTTGATAAACCACTGGGGGTAAAAATGTAACGTATTTTTCAGGGTATTACTACCAGAGTTTCATTTCACACGAAAAAGTAATCCGAGTTTTTAACGATATTACTCTCCGAATTGTACTCGCCCGCTCAAGTGAAATAAACAAGCGAAGTACTAACACGCGGGATTTCCTTCCCCTTTCAATAGGGGCAGGAGGGAAAGAGGAAAATAAGAGACTTTTTTTGCTTTTCAGCAACCGGGTCCGTAAGGACGACTTTCTCCGGGAAAAAGGGTAGTGGGATCCACCTTTAGGAAAGCTGCAGCCGGGGGTATTTTCAGCCGGGAGAGGGTATCTCTGGAGCCGCCCCGAGGAGGATACTCCTGCACAACGGCACCTCCCACCCTCCTCCAGGACTTTTCGGACAAGGACTCGCCACCTGTCTTGTCCCCTTCCCGACGTGCGAGCCGGAGGCCGGGAAAAGCCATGACGATGTGCAGCACCCGGAGGAGCCGGCGGCCGAGAAGGGCGGCGGGGACAGCGCCGAGCGCCATCGTCCTCCCCGAACCGGCAGCGAGATCGTTCCACACACACCCCCTCGCCTCCCGCCACCGGGCCGGACGGAGGGGCCCGGCAGACACCACAGGGGGAGAAGGCTGCCCGCCGCCCCGGGGAGGGGGGGGGGGGGGGGGGAGGGGGGGGAAAAGCGGCCCCGCCACCCTGACACAACGAAGCCGCCGCCGATCCCGGACCCCGCCACACGGTGCGATCGCGGCGGCTCCGTTTCATTTCCCCTCACCACCTGCCCGACCGACCGCGGCGAGGCGGGAGCGCCCTCTCCGGCGCCGTTACGGCCATGGCGGCGGGACCCACCTCAGCTCAGCTCGAGCCCCGGCTTCTGGCTCCTTCCTCGGGCGCGGCAGCTGAAGGCGACAGTTACCGGAGAAGGAGAAAGAGAAGGGGGGGAGGGAAAGACAGGGAGGGCGGGAGGAGGCGGGCGGGGCGGCACCACACACAGGCACACAGAGAAAGCGAGAACGACGCGCACGGAGCCGCCGTCCCGCCGATGGGTCACTCTCTCCACTCTCTCTCCCCGGAATCAACAAGGTTTTCAAAATGGCGGGTTGGCGGGCGGGGAGAAGGAAGCGGGAAGGCGGCGGCCAATCACGCGCCCGCAGCCCGGCCGCCGGCGGGGTGTGCGAGTGCGCGTGACGCCCCCCCGCACCCCCCCTCAGCGCCGCCTCGCAGTGACGTCACGACGTTGCCTCCGCCGCCGGGGCGTGTTGAGGGGCCGCCCCGCCGCCGCCGGGTGGGTTGGTGGCGTCTCCGCCCGCCCTTCGGTCCCGTGCGGGTGGGGAGGGCTTAGCGGTCCCGTTTGATCCTACCGGGGCGGCAGCCGCGGTGCTGACAGGCTGGGGAGCGTGTAGGGAGTGTGGTGTTTTGGCCGCTGAGGGCGGGAGCCGGGGCCTGAAGAGCGAGGCCTTCTCCTTACCCCCTGCAAAATGCGGGTGGGTCAGGGCCGGCCCCCGAAAAAGGGAAGGCCCCGTCCCGCTCTCCGAGCTTTAGCCTGCCAGGGGTTTAGTCATGAAAGCGGAGAGGAGGGCTGTCCGGGCGGACAGCAGGGACAAGGAGCGCTCAGAATATACGCTGGAGAAGGAAATAGCCCGACCTAAGGGTCTCCAAGCCGCGCTGAACCCAGAGCAGCTCTTTAGCTGGTGTGTGAGTAGCAGCGGGCAGGTGGCTCTTGCTGAGGGAGGGACCAGGTCAAGGAGAGAGAGGAAATGAGCAAAACCTTAAGGCTGCTGTGAATTGCTAATTATAGGCGGGTGTAAAGCATCGTCGTGTAGAACTGGTAATAAAACTGGGGTGTATGTGCAATGTAAATACTACAAAATAATAGAATCTGGGACAGGAAAATACTACAATTCATATACTGTGTGCAAAAGGAAAGCCTGAGGGCTTTACTCAGACTTTTCACCTCCCAATTTAGGCAACGGAGATGCAGATTCCTTTTCCTAAAGTTTTTAAAGCTGGTGCAATCACAGATGGTGGTGTTCTTAAAAAGGAAAAATGTAAATTGTTTACCAACAATACACAATTAGACAAGCCTGAAGTTAATACACAATCAGGAGGTAAAAATACCCATCATGAAGCCATGGGCTACGCAAATGGCACAAGACAGATGTTTGAAGACAACAGACTACTTCCTATAAGATGAATAGGTTTGGATTAGTTCAGAATCGTGGCAGAAGACATCCAAAGGCTGAGCCGTGGGTTGTGATGATGAATTATACTGTCTCTTTTGTAAAGAGGGATGTGTTTACCCAATGGAGATAATTTACCTAATTAAAGTACCTATGTTAATGTCCTACACATGTCACAGTAGAGCTGCATCTCGAGGAGAAATAGAAGATAGTGGCTTCATTGATCCTTTTAGTGAAGATATCACTTTAGTAGCAGGCAGCTCCTCAAACACAGACTGAATTCCATATTTTAGGAACTGATACACTCTTAGTGCAGGTAAATTGCATTTTGTCACAGATTTCTTCTGGCAGAACTTCAACAGCTATGACAATTAACTTTTCTTGATTCTGTTTTTTGAAACCTCTGCACTTCATAGTATCTTTTTGATTTATGAGTTTATGGAGTAGTTCCAGTGTGCTGTTAACAGTTTTATAAAGGGTTGTTGCATCTCCCAGACAAGATTGAGACATTGTGGATTAAAAAGACTTTTATAAAAAAATCTGCAATGCTAGAATTTGGGAGAAGGTGGCATCAAATTTGGAAGAAGAAAATGTCAGATGTGTTAAAGGCAAATTGCTGAATTAAAGAGAAGAGACCAAAACTGATTTATCTTCTCATTTTTACTATGAGTAAGAATGCTTATTCTCAGTACACAGCTTTGGGGTGCTTCACTGTATCGACACTTCTATGTTGCTGCCTTTTCTCCACTCAACCTGATAAAGTTAACTTAATGATACAGTTTCAGCTGAGAGTTGAAAGACGGGAATGAGAGAATTATATTGGTATAAAATGTTAGCATTGTCTAAGGTGTTCACACAGTGGTGTAGTGAAAGGTACTAAACACAGCTTGAGCCCCTTGGTTCTGGATGAAGGCTAAATTGGAAAGGGATAACTGATTCTAAGAGCTTCTTAGAGTTAATGCAAGAGCTGCTTACTGTAGCCTGCTCTTCTTATTCCATCACAGAGAGGCTGCTCTCCTACTGCCATAGTCCCAGCGTTGAGGACACTCTCTTAGTTTTGACGGCTAGCTCTATCTGCAAACAACAGTTATCCTGGAGGTACCTTGGCTTGGCTTTTAGATATCAAAGGATATGTTTCTTAGACGTAGTAACTCAATAGAATTAAATGGTGAAAAATGGTTTGAAGGTGCTGTAAAAAGAAGAAGCTGGCATGTTTGAAGATACGTTACAAGCTTGTATGCCGGAGTGCAGTAGATAGTGCTATTTTAAACATGGTTACCAGCTTCTGTTAATTAATATAAACAGCTCTTTTTGGCTAGTTCAGAGCAGCTTGTATTAGCAAGCAACACTGATCGTATACAGCACACAGCACTTTTTGAGAAGTTTTTTGGGATAGAAGTGCAGGCTTCACAGAGTGTACAAAGTCCCCCAGGATTGCGTTTATTTTGTTTCCAAAGGGACTGGTGACTGCAGTGCCCTGCCATCAGCGCAGAAAGTGACAAGTCTGCTGTGGGCAAAATGACAGAAAAGGTCAGCTGTAGATTGCAGAGAAAGTGCCCTGCATCAAAGTAAGTACTCAGTAACTCTCATGAGGAATTTTCCACACAGAGAAAAATACCACAGCAACAAATTATGGGATGCTACTTTTCAATAACGTAGCCACTGTTGCGTTTTGTTCTTGTATGTTCTTCAGTTTCTCTGTAACAGTCATGTGACTACATATTTCTTAGAAGTGTCTAATTGACTTGTCTATGAAATGCTGAGAAAAGTCCTGTGTAAATGCCACGTACATCTTTATTAACATTAGCAGCATTACATGGCTTTTGAATCTAAGGATTATATAATTGCTCCTGAAAGCAGGAATTTAAATTTGAACTGATAATTGAGCTAATTAACACTATTTACAAGACAAGAGAAACTTGAAAGCTATTTGAGCAGTATACAGTTAAGTTATGGTGTGATTAATAACATATCCTGAATATTTCCAAGTGTTCACTGCATATTTGTGCAAGATATTTTGCCTCTGTTGATTGATAAGAATACCTGATTTGCAAAGTGTTTTGGAAGGAGGTCCTGCTCACTTCTGACATCCTGCATTTCCCTTCTCATTCCCCATCCAAGTGTTTCAGGATTAGCAGAGGGTGGCGTCATCCCCACTTGTCACCTGTTTCTTACCCTTAAGAAGCTTAAGAGTTGTCCTTGCAAATACAAATTCTCACAAATGTGAGATGAGTGATGTGAATCGACCTAAGCAGCTTCACTATATTTTAAAAATCTCTATATGGGCCGTGCTTCGGGGTAAATATATGCAAAGATTCAACAGAACTGTGAAGTAATAAGAAACACGAGAGATAGACAATGAATGAAAACCGTACATAAAGTCACTTTTTCCGTCTGCATGTGAATGACAGCACTGTGCTCTGTCAAACTGAGCTCTGTGTCAGGATTTCTCTTAACCTTCCAGTTACCAGGGGTTTGAAAATTACTGCTTCTTGTGTGTTTAATAACATCTGCAGCTGTATGTTCAGTCAGAGCACGCGCGGCTGTTATCTCTTCGATGAAATATTTAGATCTAGCACTAGGTGTAGTATTTAGATCTACAGGTACAAGCCAGGAACTCTGAAGGGCTGGCACGTAGCTCTTGCAGGCAATAGCCCCACGAGCTCTTCTGCATCCCTCTGCTGACACTGAGGATGGGCTTTCACCTCAAGGTCCCACACGCCGCTCGGTGCTGGAGAACCGTTAGCAGGACGGCTTCCCTCGTGAAGGACAGAATCTGACCTGTGGTGAATGCTCACCCGGTTACTGGCCTCCCACTACTTTTGGGAGAGTTTTGCCATGAATAGCGGGTGTTTGTGCCAGTGACCTATGTAAATGTTGTGTAACTCACACGTTAGAAAAGGAAACACTGTCAATTCATGGAGGCTTTAAGGTCTGAGCCTGGAAATTTCTCCTCGACAGGTCTATAGGTTTTGGTACAGTTGGGAATTTACAATTGCACATTTTTAAACTCCTTGTAAATGGAAAACATTTCCAAGGGTATCGCTCTTTTGCACCAGGACAAGTTTGCACTTAGTTCATCATCAAGCTGAGCTACAAAGTGAAATGGCTGTTTTTTCCACGTGCGTTGCGTGTAGTTAGTGGCAACCTGTGTTTAAAAAAAAAAACAGGTATCCAACAACCAAAAAAAAATGAGGGGAAAGAAAAGGAAAACTTTGTAGCTTTCTAATAATTTAAGGTGATCTTGGTAATAATTTGTCAACGTGATATGATATATAAGTGGAGGTTTTCCAGAAAAGGCTTTTCGGAGGGAGATTCCCCACCACCTCCCCCAGCACCCCCCCCCTCCGGTAGCCACGGGGCTCGCCCGGCAGGAGCCCTTCCCCCGAAAACGTCAGATGAATTTGCCCTTTGTAAGAGGCGGCGGCACCGGGGCTCCCTCAGTCGCCCACCCGGGGCAAGCGGCGGGGCTACCCCCCCCCCCCCCGCGCC